GATTTACTATCGTAGTTTATTTAAAATACGTACTTGGAACCCTAGATAACTCTGAACCATTTAACTTCAAACATTTAAAATGTGGTTCTGTACAATTAGGATAAGCTGGTTTTAGATAAATTAATGGATGGAGAAGAATTATGATGGACTGGTAGACACATATGGAGGATAACTACATTGACCTACAGAATGGCTCCTTGAGGCCCCTCATAAAGGTTAAAAATGGATTGAGACTAGTGTGACTTAGGACAGTTTTAAAAACATCTAAATACTGTCCTGAGAATTTTTATTTATTTATTTATTTTTAAATAAATCTTTATTTTTCATATAATTCGAAGGTTCCTCATTTCTTCCCCCCTCCACCAGGTTCCCACCCCACCCTCTGCCCTTTCCCCACCCCCCATTTTCCTCATCCATAGGTGCACAGTTTATGTTCTGTCCTGAGAATTTTTAGAAACCAGGACTTGGCTTTGTCACCTACAGTATGTTTTAATTTTGGTATTTCTGATCCACAGTATATGATGCTTTGAGTTACCAAGAATTGAATTTGGATTTTAGTAATCTATTCTCTTTCTCTGTCTGCCCCCTAGATGACTATAGCCTACATTTTCCAGATGCCTAGGTAAAACTAGGTTACAATCTAAAGCTAATAGTCATGTCCAGCTCTTTAACCCATGATTTTGGGCTTATCATATGTTCATATGTCTGTGAGAAAAGTATAAAATTTGTAACTTTGAAAGTGCATATTTCTAATTAGGGTTGCGATTTTAAAGTTCCAGTAGCATCTTTTAAAAATAATGCTAATGTTATAAGCAAAGCCCACAAATAAAAAGTCGTATTTTTTCCTGCTAAATTTCTTTTAGAGTGGTATCAAACAGGACAGCTGACTCCTCAAATTAATGAGAGTGTGTGAGAAGGAAAGACCACATGTCCATTAGAGCCATACATTAGTCTGATTTAGTCATAATTCATAATAAAGCCATTAACTTTATTTTTTTATGTTCAGTAATTATTTTGTTAATGAGTAATTTGTTTTGATCAAATTTTCACTGATTGTAACAACTCAACCCAGAATATTTTTTAAGTTTTTCATTTACATTTATAAACATTTTTGTAGAAGTATGATAGGATGATAATTAAAATATGTTCAAGGGTGAAAATATTTTAAAATTAAGTGGAATGGAAATAGAGGTCTAGGGAAAAAACAATGTAAAATATCTAACTAGAGAATAAATTCTTCCTTTTTTAATTAATGGATGATGATAGCTATCAAACTACTCTAATACTTATATTATACTGTACTGGGTATACTTTTCAAAGACTAATATAAAAGTTATTTTTAAGTATGCTGGAAATTATATCCTTTAGAGCTAAACTTATAACAAATTTATATCAATTTAGAAGTATGTAAAAGAGTAATTTATCTACTAGTTTTTCAAAATCTGTGGGGGTTATGGAATCATAAAACTTGAAGGCCACTGATATATAGTCTCAAGCTTCAGAAGCATGCTTTAGTACTCTTGTCTAGTCCCTCACCTGTAGTTTAGTTTGATCACCAAACTAAATCACCCTAGAGATTTTTTAACTTACCCATTCTCTAGGAGAAATTACAAACTAAAAGAACAATGGGGGTAAAGGAAGCAGATCATTTTCTAATTATCCAGACCAAGAGCTTCAAAAAATAATTGACTCTGCATTCTCTCTAAGCAGTAAAAATTTAGGTTCTATTAGCATAAGAGTTTTTTGTTTTAAAATGCCTTGACAATCTGTATCAGTTTTAACCAGTTAACTACTACATGTCCAAAATGGGATGATATTGGAATTTCTTCCATGTGTGCTGGAATATTTATGCATTTAAGTTACCATAATTTTCTTTACAAACCCAGAGATGTCACTAACAAGTCTGATTTTAAAATTGGGTGACCAGAGTTGATATGCGAGGTTTGCAGCTATAGATGTGCGTGGCATGTGGCTGGCGTCCAAAGACGCTTATGGCATACAAAGGGTTAAAGTCTGGTATTTTATTCCATAATTCCATTGTATGGCTATTCCATAGTGTAACCTTTAACTTATTGGTGAACATTTATCCATTGCTCAATATTTTATCAATGCAGTGCTTTAATGAACATTGTTATTCTGACATCTTTATCCACCCCTGCTTTGTTTCTTAGGACTCATTACTTTTAGAATGTTTGGGTCAAAGAAAATGCACATATTAAGTTTTTGTAAATACTACAAAATATTGATAGTTTCTATAAAATATCCAAACGAAACCTACCAACAAACCCACCAAACAACAGAGCGCACCCATTTCTCTTATCTAACTGTAGATACTATCAGGCTTTTGACTTTTTTTGCAAAAGACTTAACATACACACCAAAATGAGAATGATTTTTATCTTCATGCTGCTGTAGTGATTTTCCTATTTAAATTGCAATGCATGACCCCCAGCATTCCCAATTCCCTTTAAATTATTTTTTCTGTATCATGTACCATTTTCCTAGCATTGTATTATTTCTCTCCCCTTATTCTAGTCTGCAAACTCCAAAAAGGCTAAGTTTTTGTTTTTTCTCTCTTTTGTTCACTAATTACTAGTGCCTGGCACATGGTAGACAGAATTAAATGACGTGGCAATTTTATGATAAACATGAATTTCAGCCATAGCTGGCATGTTTCTTCTTTGGCCCATCTGTCTCTGATGTTACACACATCTTCCCAATGAGAAAGTACCCTTAGAGCAGCCACAGCTTCTCAGGCCATGTTATACCTACACAACACCCAGGTTTGGCTATTAGCAGGCCATCTGGAGGAAATTAATGCTCCTTCCTGCTCTGACTCCCCAGGCAGTTGACTATCAAGACAGTGTAGCTTTGCCGATGTGGCCATCCAGCCACCACCACGCTTATTTTAGCCCTTCCCTTCCTGTTTCTCTCCTGCCAATGCCTGAGGGGACATAGGAACAACCACCAGCCCTAGTAAAGCATTCCACCCGGGTAAGGGATGGCACCCATCTGCCCCACACCAGGCCTTTGGTCCCACACCCTTTCCCATAACATTGGCACTTAGTCAAGCTGAGAACTAAGGTTTGGTGGAGCACCAAGTTTCACTGTTTTCCTCCAGCCAGAATTTGGAGGAAATTTACCAAAGAAAGCAAAGGCCAGTGATTGAATTTTGGGTGGCTGGCATTGCTAATCTATAAAACAGCTAATAAGAGTTTAGTATTGTTCACCAACCAGTTTAGCATTTTGATAAAAGTTTGGTGACAAAAAAATGTTTAGCTGTTATGTATTTCCTTCACATTTATCAATTCTATAGAGTATATTCTCCCTTTCAGTAGTATGTGTCAGATTAGGCCCAAAAAGGGCATAGTGAATATTTTCATTGATATCTGTAACGGAGACGCTATGTTTTAGTTATATTCAGGCTAATCAAGTATCTAGTGTTACTAGCCTTCAACATAACCCACAGGGGCAGGGAGGAGAGAGTAAGGATGATTACTAGGCATCTACCACTGGCAGGCTGAAGTGCGAGGAGGAAAGAATGTGGCAGGAGGAGCTGTGCATTCTAAGAAAATTGCATATGCAGTTATCTCAGATTCCAGTTAGTGATAAGTTGCTTGCTTTATTCTCTAGTCCAGTGTTTCCCATACTTTTGACATATGTGTACCCCTTCTATAATTTTCGTAACGCTGAATATTCCTCGTACTCGTGAGAATGTAGAATTAGGCGCAGCTAAGCACGGTGCAGTGCATATCCCCACCAAACTCTTCCTGTACCCCTGGGGGTACGCGTACCACACTTTGGGAAACACTGCTTTAGTCCATCCCCTATTTCATCTTCTCTCCCAGAAAGAGCAGCATAATGGTAAGATTGCTGCTTAGATGTTCTAGAATAGGAATTTGAATGAGGGGAAGAGGCTTGGTGAATGAAGAGTAGGAAGCTTTTATCAGGAATGTCAAAGTAGTAGTGGAGAGGGAATAACTAAGCAGCTTCATTTGATTACAACTCATTTGCAGTGGGCGGTTAAGGCAGGCAGCAGGCCAGCATCACCACTTTATAAATAATAAATCCTCTGTGGTGTTGATGTTGTGAAAGACACATGGCTAAGGTTGCATCAGCATTGGTATGGCGAAATAGCACAAAAAGGGTGGGTCTGTCTGGAGAATCACCTGTTTGGAAAGGGATTAGGCTACAAATTAAGTCCAGAACACCTTAAATATGTAGCATAATAATCTGGGATGTAACAGGGGGAACAACAGTCATCAGCCAGAGACGGCATATATGCTAGGATATTAACAAAATACTCATAGAAGTGTATTCACTGGTATTTAGCATATAGTATTTCTGTACTGAGGAAAATAATAAACTAAAAGCATACCTCATTTCTGTTCTTCAAGAGCCGATTTCACCTGTTTGCTACTTTCTTACAACTTGAAAGTGTGTAGCCAGTAACTGATCCTTAGGATGCCTTTTACCATTATAGCAAAAGGATTAAAGTAGAAACCAGCTATTGAGAGAAGTGAGAATGTTAAGAAATGTCTACCTCCTACCTCATCCTTTCCCTAATTACCTCTTACCTCCTTCCAAATGGTCATGTTATTTACCGTCACCCATCATTCAGGGAAGATGCTATCAGTAAACCAAGATGGCTACACACAAAAGCCATTGTTTTCCTAGCTGACATCTACTAGATAATTATCTTTGTCTAAACGAGCGCAAATTTTTCTGCCAATTTTTCACTAGGAGGGGGTAAGTTTAGAATATGCAGTCTTCCAATTAACACTACTGACCAGTGAAAGTTGACAAGATCTAGATGCTTATATGAAATAGTTCAACCTTGTTTCATTTACAATATCCACCGGAAATTATGGGGAAAATTATACGAGGATAGTTTATTTATAGGAATTTGATTTTACTTCTTACATTACATTGGATATGTCTCAAACAATATGTTGGGAATTCATTCTTGAATAATACTAATAATTGATTTCTTCTTGAAGGAAAAACTATATCCAGCAATTCAGATATGGCAGAAGTGAAGTCCATGTTCCGGGAAGTTCTTCCAAAACAAGGTATTTAACACAATTACTTAAGTGACAGAACATAATAGGAACATAAAAAGTAATAGGCAGTATCACATAGTAGGCTCAATAGCTAAGAATCTGAAACTACTGTGTTCTGTATCCCACCTTTACTGTCCATCAATTGCTTTATTTTTCCCAGTAAAATGACAACCTAGAAAAGCCTGCTATATTCAAGATTGCAGATTACAACCAAAATTCTTAAGAGTACTGTAATGTACCATAATCTATATCTATAAAAGCCCAAGCAACCCTTACTACCAAATGATTTGAACCCGTCGACCAGTCGCTATGACACACACTGACCACCAGGAGGCAGACGCTCAATGCAGGAGCTGCCACATGGTGGACAGTGCACTCCCAACAGCCAACTTCCCACAGCCCCTCCCCCTGCCTGGCTGGCTCCCATCTACCCCTGGTGCTAAACCATTCCTAGAGACGTTCTTCTGGGTCAGGGTTTCATAGGTAGCAGAGTAGCTTCCTCGATTTATTGGAAGTCAGCCCTCGACACAAGAATTTGTCTCACTCCCCGTCCTCTCCCTCCCCCAGGGACCACCTGCCTGCCATGGCAGAGGCGAGGAGGGAAAGAGGTGGGAAGGCGGGGTGCTGACAGTGGTATCCCGCACCTGGCCCGGTAACTGTCGCCTCCTCTCCCGGCCCCACCCGGGGCCTTTGGGCCCCAGGCTGGGACAAGGAACCGGGGATGGGTTGTGGTAGATGTGGCCCCTCTCCCAGGGGGGCCGAGGGCTGGCTCCCTCCTCAGAGCCAGGGGCCAAACTCCCGCGATCTATCCCCCACACCTTTGTGCACAAATTTGTGCACTGGGCCTCTAGTATTAAATAAGGTCTGAATCTGGGTAAAAAACAAAAAACAAAACCTAAATAATAAGAAATGCTGAAGTTTTCAGTGAAACACTCAGAAATTTGAATATCGGTGTTAAATCAATACCATACTTAACTATGTATTTTTAGGCACTATACATTTCTCCCAACTTTTTTCAACTAAATATTTGACATGAGTTGTGTCTTATATAATTTAGAACCTTAGCTATAAAGTTTGAAACTTGTCTTCTTCATGAACTCCCTAGCATTAAATGCTTTTATGTTTATAAAATTTAGAAATGTTATAGGGGTAGACTATGAGAATAAGAGATTTTCATTAATAATGGAATCTCTAAGTTTTTAGAACTTCATTCTAACTGCAAATCCAAACTGCCAAACAACTGGATTATCTCAATCAAATTCTTATTTATTTTTAAACTTAGGGCAGTTGTCTGTGGAAGATATAACCACAATGGTGCTGTGTAAACCCAAACTTTTACCCTTAAAATCTCTGACTATGGAAAAACTGGAGAAAATGCAGCAAGCAGCACAAGAAACAATTCGCCAACAGGAAATGGCAGAAAAGGACCAAAAGCAAATGACTCGCTGAATAACTTAGCACTTTCTAGCTATTAACAGTAGCTAGAAAATAATCCACCTGTATGCTGAAAGTAGTATGTGTTAATAAAACTTATATTCATATAGGTAATATAAAATACCCAAGACTAATGAAACGTGTATGGTTTGTAATGAATGTAAGCCATTAAAACTAACCCAAATCTTGTGTGTTTTTTTACCCAAGTTTTTAGAAATACCAATTAAGTTAGTGTTCACCATTACTACTACACGGCTGATAACATTCTTAGGTACAAGTGACTAAATACAACTTATATATTCAGAGAATTTTTAATGTCTATTAAAAACTGAATTTAGAGATATATTCTAATCTTGCATTAAGTACTCATGATGGGCTTTTATATTACCTAATTTTTAAAACTTGTTATGAATTTGGTGTGACCTATCATGTTTAAGGCTATTTTGCCTTAAACAGATCCTACAAGTCATGACAAAACTCTATTTCTTAAAATAAACTTAAGAAGCCCTCACCTGAGCTTTTAATAATACTAATTTCAAGGACTTAATGAAATAATGGCTATTTTTATCATCCAGATATCAAAACCCTAGAAATGGAAAATAACATGGATTTAAAAGAGCTCATGAGATAAACATGAAATTCAATCTGTAGTGTTAGTCCTAAAAGAGTGTACTGAAACCTGTAATGTAACATATTCCCAAAAATACCTTTGTAAATTCTGAATATAATTCTTGGTTGGTTGGCTGCAATCAATAATAGACCATTTAAATTAGCAGACCGTAAACCTTCCTACATAAAATTAAGGCTCTGCAAAAGAAGTTAGAAATGTAATCATTCTTCAGATAATTATTTATTGTAGCTATTATTTTCTCAGACATGGAATAAATGCAAAACTTTGAGTCTCTTGAAGAATAATATTTTGAGACATTATTTGGTAATAGAACTTAATTAAAAGCCCTGGCTGGTTTGGCTCTGAAGGTCTCAGGTTCAATTCCCAGTCAAGGGATTGCAAATTCAATCCCCAGACCTAGTAGGTCGGGATGTGTTTGGGAGGCAACCAATTGATGTTTCTCTTCTCTCTTTTGCTAATCCTAATCCCTTCCACTCCCTCAAAAATATATAAATAAATAAATGGAAAGAATATCCTTGGGTGAAGATTAAAAAAAAAAAAGGAGAGAGAGAGAATGATGAAAGGTAATATATATTTTAGAAATTTCATTAGGCTAAAGATAAAATCTTTTTAAAAGTGTGAAAGCTAAACAGCCAAATAGGAAATATGCATTTCCTAAGTAATTATTACTATTGTACTTCTGATATAAAAGTTTGTAAGAAAGTTTAAATTCACTGGGTTCAAATGCACTCCTTATATGATTTTATTTGCTAAGTGAATAAAAGTATTTTTTAAAACCTAAAATAAATGTACTCCCAATAAAAAATCAACACTGTTTCACATGTTTTATTTTGTCATACATTCTTCTAGAACCGGGTTCATTTTTCCAGTTTTGTAGAAAAATAAATGTTCCAGCCACCATTTACTTAACTGTCTAGTCTTTAAGACCAATCAATATGTTCCCTGGAAAGATGAATAAGTCCCCTGACTAACTCATTTTTTTTAAATTCTTTAAGACAAAGAAATAACTTTTTTTTTTACTCCCAAAGCACAGTATTTCAACAGCAGCAGCCAAAATGGGGTTTTAGCAGCTTAACTTTACCCCCTAAATAAAGCTTTGTATAAACCAGTGATTTTACTACAAAAACACTGTCCTTGGAAAAAAGGAATAGCAATCTGACATCAATGCAAAACTTGGAATGATTAGGTCATAAACATGGCACTTACAAAAGGTAGCTTATGAGAACATTCCACTTAAGAAGTGGTTACTTTTCTGTCCCTCCTTTACACCATAAAAAAAAAAAAAAAAAAAAAAAAAAAGGAAATACTTCCTTTAACAATTCCCCTTAAATTTGTCTATAAAATTTCAGAAATGCCTTGTACCCAAAACAAGTGTTTAAAAAAAAAAAAAAAAAAAAAAACTGTGCTAACAACTCTTACAATTCAGATATATATATTTTATAACATCTAAGACTGCAAGAGTTCTTATATTCAGTAGCTCTCTGGTTTAAGACGACCTCCATCTCCTTCACTTACAAAACGTTTTCTGCCCCTGTAATGCAAAGAACATAAACATGAAGACAAACAAATTCTGACTACAGTCAATTTAAACAACTTAAAACTTGATATTTCCTGGTTATTAACTTTTAAAAGGTTTTATTGTTTTTTTTAAAAAGTCAGTATGGCTCTAAAGCTTTTGTAAAACCCTGTTCCTGCTATATTTTTCCTAGAATTCAATATCCTATTGAATAAAAGTTTATTAAAATAAATTCATTGTTCAAAGAGAGTCATGTTAAAAAATGTTAAAATATAGGACAAACATTTGTTACTTAGAAATTTAATACTTATTCTACTGTGTTATTATTTGAAAGCTAAACAGCCAAATAGAAAACAACAATATAATCTGGAATTATGCAAAATAGAGCTATACAACCTATCAAAATATTCATGTTTAAAATATCTTTAAAAATTTTTTTTCAGATGTAGAAAAGCCATAACCTGAATATGGAAAAAGAAATCAAATTAATTCCAGTCCATGCCCCTTTTGGGGATTCATGTTATTTCAAGTAACCTTGCTCTGTACTGTAACCACATTCTAGCTATCTGTGGTAGCAATAGCCCAGGAGAAATAGGTGACCAGCAGCCTAAAGCAATAAGCAGAAAACAGAGCTTGGGCAGAATTAGCCCTTATTCTCTGACCCTACAACAACACGCACTGGCACTTGAGACCACACACAAATGTGCACTTCACAAACTAAGCAAAAGGAGAGAGGATAAATACTCAAAAGTTTAGGTATCTCTTCAAATGACACTTGATAGTAAGGTCATAACAGAAGTAACCGGTTAGACCTTTGAACAGAGACGGAAACTTTTAAAAAGCCAGTGCCAAGGTGTTGACCCTTTTTCACACTAAGTCTAACTGTAAACTAGCTATATTTTCAAAGGCTGTAATATTAGGAGGCCAAGGTGCGGAACAAAACAGTTAGTTGGAAGCAGTCTTGCCGAAGTTGACAGTTTAACTGATGTATACCACTTGACACATCAGTACATAAAGAATGCCATCACCAAGTAGAGATCTACATTTTCAAATATTTTTATCAAAGCCACTAAATTATATCTTCCACTGTTATCTTTTCCTTCTCTCTTAATGGCTTCTATTTTCTACAACAAGGGACACTGCCAGAAATTATTTCTCTGAGATTCAACTCATAATATCCTTAAATAAAAATACCCAAACTTTGAAAATTTTTTGAAGAAAATTATAAAAACTTAAAATGTACGTAAAATCGACTCACAAAGAGTATTATAAAGAGTTAGATCCACATAGCACAAATATAAAGTAACATCCAATTAGCTCCAATTCTCCATTCTATGAAGGAGCAAAAAGAAAGCAACTTAAGCCGAAGCCGGTTTGGCTCAATGGTAGAGCGTCGGTCTGGGCTCTGAAAGGTCCCAGGTTCGATTCCGGTCAAGGGCATGTACATTGGCTGCGGGCACATCCCCAGTAGGGGGTGTGCAGGAGGCAGCTGGTCGATGTTTCTCTCTCATTGACGTTTCTGGCTCTCTATCTCTCTCCCTTCCTCTCTGTAAAGAATCAATAAATTAAAAAAAAAAAAAAAAAAAAAAAAAAAAAGAAAGAAAGCAAGCAACTTAAGAGTATAGGAATGATCCTAATACCTTTGAAACCAGAAAAAGTCTGGATTAATCCTTGGCCTCTACCATTTGTGACCTTAGAAAATGTATATTATACCTCCTTAAGACTCAATTTTCTCATTGATGATTAACACTGACACTAAAATAGTGTTTATACTACTTAGAACAGAACTGCTCCACAAAATTTGACTGCCAGTGGTTTTATGAGTTTAAATTCACAAGGGGGCAAAATAAGCTTCACCCTTGTTTCTCCATAAACACAAAATAGATGATTTTTCAATCTTGAGTAGCTCCATTTATTAATAGTATTATTTTTCTGACAGAACTGGAATGATGGAAAATTAGCTTAGCCTTCCAAGCACCTCAGTATTTTAAGCTGAAAAAGTAATAAAGTACCTTGAAGGACAAAGATCTCTGAGTTGTTTGGAAATTATTCCAGCCTGAAAACATTCTTCTACAAATTTCTCAAGCACGGAGTATGAATATGGGACATCCAGATTAATGTCCGGAATTTCATTATAAATTCTCTCATAACCCTAAAACAATGAAATTGTATACAGAATTGTTAGCCCATACAAAATACATAATGCCATACAATTCTTCACTGTCATAAAGCTATATTTAAGGCCAAATGTTTATATAATAAGACTAAAGTCAGGTCTGAACCTTGAAACAGGTACATTTGTTATAGGATGTTTTATTTAAAACTGTTCTCTCAAATGATCTTGAGGCAGACTGTGATATAGGACACATTTTTTCCCATATACAGGGATGGGCAAAAGTAGATTTCCAGTTGTAGTACAAATAATACAATAATTAATAAATAGTACAAGAATAAACTGTTTCTTGTATAACTGTAAACCTACTTTTGCCCACCCCTGTACATTTACATTTAAAAAAAAAAGGGCAAGAACCTCACCAAAACTTTAATAGCAATGCATACAATTTTAAATAGAAATAAATTACTTTAAAGTATAATTTGCTAAATGTTTGTTTCTACTTAAATATAAAATAGAAATTATATCTTAGAAATAGAACTCTTGACGAAGAACAAACAATCACATTTTTTTAAATGCAGGTTAAAAAAAACCTATTGAAGTGTTACTTTCCAAAAAATGACTGCAAGAGATTCAAACATAAACACTACTATTTAAAAACAAAGAACTATACACATTCTACTGCTAACCATATCTAAAGGAAAATTTCATTATCTTTATTCAATCATATATTTAAGGTATAAGCCTACAAAATGTTCAAAATAATGTTATACTTACTCTTTTCATTTGGTCTACGGTAATCGTAGAAGATTTCCAAAGGGATTTTAACAAATCCAAAATCATCTTAAATGTACTTTCTCCAGTTGACTCCAAAACCATTACAATGGCCTTAAAATTGAATGAATGCATGAATGTATTTTTGGTCATTAATTCATATAAGAAACATCTCTTAAATGTAATAGATTCCTTTAATCTGTAACTATAATTCTTATAAAAATTTAAAAACAATTTTCTTCATTAACATTAACTTGCTTTTTAATATTCACCCAAGAATGTTTCTCATTGATCTTAAAAAAAACCCGATGTATATTATTAAAGAAGTACTATGTCACTGTAGTACAAAAAAAGGAACACAATAGCCCTAGCTGGTGTGGCTCAGTTCATTGGAGCGTTGTCCCATGTGCACCAGAATGTCTCAGGTTCAGTTACTGGTCAGGGCACACACCTAGGTTGCAGGTTTGATCCTCGGTCAAGGCATCTACAGGAAGCAACTGATCAATGTATCTCTCTCACATTGATGTTTCTCTTTCCCTTCCTTCTCTACAATCAATTTTTAAAAAAGAAACACGATAATTCTCTTTGGGATATCAAAGTAATCTTACTTCATATACAAGCTCGTGGTGAAAATGAGGTACTTCCAGTTCCTTAAGGCAATGTTCAGCTTCAGATATGTCTCCAGAAAGTAAATACTCTTTCAGCAGCATAACAATCTATTAAATTTAAAAATTGAGATGTGTCAGAATTTATTTTTTAAATAATTGTGCTTTGTCTAAATGATTTATTTACCCTCATCTCAATATATTACATGATGAAATAGGTTACAAACAGCTAAGAACATATAAACTTGACATGGCACAATCATTAAAATTTTTTCATGCTTAAAAAGTAAATCTTCAATTTTAAATGGTTAATTATGAAGAAAATGAAGTGATTCAGAGTATCTTAATAATCACTGAGATTTATGAATAGACTTAAGACTTTCACAGCCTGAGTTGTGACCATAATTCTTCAATGCTCCCTATAAAACAAGGGATCTTAAATACCACTAGAGGGCACTAACTGAAAGTCTCAAAATGAACTTTTAAAGAGGCACAAATTCTCCCTTTCATCAGATGACCTTGATATTGTACTGGGAGCCAAAAAAAACAAAATATTAGGGCTTTACTAGACAGGGTAAAGATTTCCATTTACTTTTCTATGAGGATTTGAAAACCATTATCTAAAAGGTTCATCAGTAATTCAGCTTCCAATAATATATAGCTAAAGAGGCAAGTAGCATCTATGGCCCTAAAGAAAATGAGGAAAAGTTTCTGAACAAGAGAATGTCAATTAAGAATGTTTTTTCCGCTGAAACCGGTTTGGCTCAGTGGGTAGAGCGTCGGCCTGACTGAAAGGTCCCAGGTTCGATTCCGGTCAAGGGCATGTACCTTGGTTGCGGGCACATCTCCAGTAGGGGGTGTGCAAGAGGCAGCTGATCGATGTTTCTCTCACATCGATCGATGTTTCTAACTCTCTATCCTTCTCTCTTCCTCTCTGTAATAAAATATTTTTAAAAAGAAAAAAAAAATGTTTTTTCCTGTACATGTTAAAGTCACCTTTGCACCTAGAAGATGCTTGATGCTGGTTAAATGAATAAAGTAATTCAGTGTCTCTGCTTCATATTTCACACTTCTACAACGTATTTCATAAAACGTAAAATACAATTTAACAAAATACATACTGATAATTCCTATTATGCTTTAGGAAAGTAAATATTTATATGTCATTTGAGTAACATTTTCACTCCATAATAAATTTATTATTTAAATGTTACTTAGTTTTTAAACTTTGTTATGCAACTGAAGGTTTACATGTTTTCCATCAGGTTCCATGAATTTTTGAGAATGATAAATTATGAATACATGTATACATTTCAAAAAGTCCT